CCACCAACAAAGCATTAACGTTTGTGAGAAGTTGCGCGTTGAGAACTTGTGATATATGTGTATTTTGTTTGTTCACGAATACAGTTGCGAAAGCTGGTATTGTTCATTTTATAGAGTATGTTTAAGGCCTTCCTTTTTCTCTCTCTGTCTTCTCTCTTACTCATATCCAGACTAAATCAAAGGGAGTGGTTTAGGGGATCAACTATTGAAGAAAATTAAGACTGTATTTACTTTTGAACTAAGTTGTAACTTTCCACCAACGTGACTTATCGCTGAGTTGCAGGTAGTAACGGTTTGCTTTGCTCATATAATATTTAAACGAATTCTTGCTTTTGTAGTAGCTAAAATGATTTGGTATGAATACTTTTTATAATGAACATTTAGGAACACATCACCAAATACGGGTCATTATTATATATAAGCATTTATACGTACATAAATGCTGTAATAGGGAACGCGCAGTACTAACGAGGTCAGGCAATATTGGTCTCCATCGACATCAGTGAGTAGTCACAATGTTGCTATTATGCTCAAGGACGACATCTCGTCTGCTGCAACTAGCCCCGTCTATGCGCTGACTGGAAGTGCGCAACACATGCAGTGACAAATACTCGCTCGCACGCACATCCACGCACGCACCTGCACCCACACCCTTACCCACACCCGGACACACATGCACAAGAACACGCACACGCACACGCACACGCACACGCACACGCACACGCACACGCATACCTACACCTACACGCACACGCACACGCACACCCACACCCACACCCACACGCACACGCACACGCACACGCACACGCACACGCACACGCACACCCACACGCACACGAGAAGAAAAGAAAGAAAAAGAGAAGAAAAAAAGTTAACACGGGAAATGAGAGCAAAAAAGAGAAAAACAGGAATGAGAAGGGAAGAGAGGAGAGAAAAATGAGAAGAGAAGAGGAGAGAAGAAAGAGAAGAGAAGAGGAGAGAAGAAAGAAGAGAAGAGAAGGGTAAAGAAATGAAGAGAAGATGAGAGAAGTTAAGAGAAGAGATGAGAGAAGAAAAGAAAAGAGAAGGGAAGAGAGAAGAGGATAAACCAAGCCAAGCAGTGGAAAGAAAAGAGAAAGAAAAATATTTTATGAAATAGAAAATCTTCATGCAATGCTTAGTATTAAATAGCCTTGAAAACTTTTCCCTAGCTCTTCTGGTAAACTTGATAATCAAGTATTTCGCCATTTTAAACTTCATCCAAATTCTATTTTCAACTTTTTCTTGCATGGATGTACATATTCCCTATAAACCCCATGAGAATGTGTCATGCTTTAGTTGTTGATCATTTTTTTCAGAATTAATATTCATTGTATGTTGAAGAAAATGCTATATATATATATATATATATATATATATATATATATATATATATATATATATATATATATATATATATATATATATATATATATATATATATATATGTATATGTTTGGAGTATGTTATTTCTACTGCTTCTGGTTGAGGCCTCTGTTTAAGTAACTGCCAATCATTGTAAAACTGAAATAAATACCAATTATTGTATATGTGGACAAAACATGGCAAAACTCATTCAAAAATATTTGAATTATCCCATTTTTAAAATTCAGATTTAAGTTATTTGAGCCAGAACAATTAAATTTAGAAACCCGCCCACCCCAAAATAATCTGGTACTGTATGCCCTGAACCTCTAAACTTTGCCATCCTTTATGGGTTTAAATATCTGGATATTTAGGTTAACAGAAAAAAAATGAAAGAAAAAGGTCCTGTATGCTTTATTGCAATCACAGGTATCACAATTCATTAAATAATCTTCATTAACAATTACCATGAACTGGCACTTAATGGGTAAATTAATACTGTGGTCATGCACTGATGTCTATTGTCAACTTCAAGGTGAAGACCAGCAAACAAAATAATTTGAAAAGCTCATAATTTGTTTTCAAATTCAATATCCATGTTCAACTGTTTACACTACACTGCCTGATACAACCCTCTCAGGAGACAGTATCTGATACAATTATATTACAATATGATGCTTCTAACAGTAATTTCACAGCCATTTACATTGTCTATGGCTATTGAATATTTTCAAGATACTGCACCTATGAAAACAGTTTGGTCAAAGAATTTTGGAGAAAAAGTGAATGACACCTATAACCCTCATAAAGCTATCCTAAAGCTATCTTGAATTAGTACTATGGTGCAAGAGGACAAAACATGTCCTCAACACTTGGATTTCTACTGTACATATGCTATGTGTTATTAATAGTTATATAAATGAAAAGAATGAAGGTAACTTCGATGTACCCTAAATGAAGGCTGCCCATAAGAAAGAGCTTTTGTGATGTTGGAATCTTTGGTAGATATTAGTCTTGAATTCACTAATATAACATATTTCCTACCAAGTAAAAGTTTTATATATAAATGTGCTAAATGAAACTGCTAACTATGAGGAATCATTATGAGAGGTATAGGAGCCCAAAAATATATATGTGATTAAATTATATACATAATATTACCTTTTTTTCAAAAGTTTTGTAGTAAAACAAGTAGATATTGCTAAATGGCCTCCTGAAAGGGTTGACGATAAATGATTCACATAAAAAGCTCTAATCATTTGTGGATACCACAAGCCATTCAGTAGTTGCAAAACAAATAAATTATTTCAAGAGATCACAGCCAAACAAAGCAAAGGTGATACAGTAATATAAAATATAAACATCCAAACATCTACTTTAACATTATAGAAATTTATGATAGAAATTATACATTTAAACGTTAAAGAAACGTGAACAGTATATCCAAAAGTTACTGGAAGATACTAATAATCTTTTACAGGTTTTATGGACATATCACAAAGTGTTTAACATCTTAAATTTGTTAACATTAACTGTCCCAACATTTATGCCCACAATATATGCATAAATTTCCACGTCTCCATATCAAATATACAACAAAGAGTTAATTCGGGTAATAATCCACACATCAAACAAAAGAGGCTTATTTAAATACAGCTCCTGTCAGGACTAGAATACTAATACTTAATAGAAAAGCAGATCAAGATGTTATAATGACTGAATGAAGTAAATGTGGAACCTCCTTAGTGATCTGTGGCCCAAAACCACTGGCCACTTCTACAGCTGTTAAGTTTCTCTGTGTCCCATTGCTTAAAATACGAGGAAGGCAACCTCTATGGCTAGAGAGCTGGATTTGAGAATTCCTAATCTGTGTACATCTGTTGTTATATGGCTATTATGGTGTTGTATGCATTTCAGTGTAAAGATACAATGATCATGTTTTGCATTGCAACTGGAGATAACAGTATCTAACAAATGCAGTCAATTATGGAATGGTATTTTTTCTCTTTCTATTTAAACATGTGCAGACTTTAGGTAAATGTGCACAATGCTGGCCACAACATGTCATATATTGGTGTTGATATTCATTAATAATCTTTATAGCATTCTGCAGTTCCAAAATTGGGTGGGAGGGAATTGGAGGGGGGGAGGGGGGAGGGAGGGAGGGAGGGAGGGAGGGAGAGAGGGAGGGAGGGAGGGAGGGAGGGAGGGAGGGAGGGAGGGAGGGAGGGAGGGAAGGAGAGAGGGAGGGAATTAGGGAAGCGGTAGAGAGACAGAGAAGACTACTAAGTTATTAAAAACCTTACTACAGTTCTGACCAATACTGTGTACTTTACACATGTGATGAATATAGTTTGGCATTCATGTGTTACAATTGCATATTGAAGTTCTATGAGTTGGCAAGTAAACTTATTTGGTAATGGTACTCTCTGTCTTATGATGGCAAGATCTTTCATCTGTACAACTGTTCAAATACCAAAATTCTACGTTTGCCCCATCTGCCCTGGAGAAAATATGTATACTAAGAAAAAAAATAATGGAAAATGGCATCCTTTTATAGCAAGAATAACAAAAATTCATGTCTTGTACTTCACTTTCCAGAGATAATGTTTTACACCTAAATATGGAAGAGGTTCCTCAATGAAATAACACTGCTAGCACTCTAAAGATGTAGAGGGAGGGAGGAGAGAGGGAGGGAATTAGGGAAGCGGTAGAGAGACAGAGAAGACTACTAAGTTATTAAAAACCTTACTACAGTTCTGACCAATACTGTGTACTTTACACATGTGATGAATATAGTTTGGCATTAATGTGTTACAATTGCATATTGAAGTTCTATGAGTTGGCAAGTAAACTTATTTGGTAATGGTACTCTCTGTCTTATGATGGCAAGATCTTTCATCTGTACAACTGTTCAAATACCAAAATTCTACGTTTGCCCCATCTGCCCTGGAGAAAATATGTATACTAAGAAAAAAAATAATGGAAAATGGCATCCTTTTATAGCAAGAATAACAAAAATTCATGTCTTGTACTTCACTTTCCAGAGATAATGTTTTACACCTAAATATGGAAGAGGTTCCTCAATGAAATAACACTGCTAGCACTCTAAAGATGTACAACTGATGAAATGCAATAATGGCTTAATATCTGAAACAGTATTCTAAAATCAATTCTCAGGGTAAGTGATGTATAAAAGAAGGCTGCTTAGAAATCAGTTATTCTTTAAAACTTTATGCAGAATATCATTTCATATATATTAAGACTATCTGAGCTCCTTTGAACTTAGAATATTAACTATTTACATGTACAAAATGAGAACCTCAGATCAGAGCGTAATAACAGCCAGGTTTTTAAAAATGTTATACTTTTCAATCTATCAAGTTCTGCATCCAAGAAATTTTGGTCCATCTCAAACTATAGGGTGAATAACATTTGTACCAAAGTCTCCAATTTCCAGACAATAATAATAATAAACAAAAAACAGAAGATAACTACCAATTCATAACAAGTCCCCGGTGTCAGTGGAACCTCGGTATCGTAAGGAATCACAGGACAAAAAAGGAGGTCTCTTAGCCTTTCTCACTTCTTCGGGGAGTATTTCTACATCCATATTT